CCCCCCCCACCCCCACCCCCCTTTATCTGAAGGTCTGGATTCGCCATTGCATTCAGTAACTTTAACTAAATGGATAAACTATTCTTATATTTAAAAGTTTCATCAACGAAAACTTTTTCATGCTATTACAGTCTTACACTAGGCGAGGCTGACAAAAATAGTTAAAGCCTGAAGTTGACTGTTCCCTTTTAGCAGAGTCTCCTTTCCGTTATTGGTCTCCATCGCCGATAATTGGCCATAAGAAGGAAAGTACATTCTTCTAGCAGGGAAAATAAGCAGTAGAATTATTACAAAAATCATTGAACTTTGCAAAAAACAGATATAATGTAAAATGAATTAGAAATAGCTTCATACACGGTCAAAAACTGCACTTCATTAAATAAATAAATAAATAAATAAATAGATAGATAAAAAAGGTTTCCTTCGTTTGTGCGTTCTGGTTGTTTACATATGTTTTACTCTTCGATCTTCGATATTATCGTCAGGGGCACCCAACGACAATTTTCGGAAGAATATCTGTTCGGAAGACGATTTGAGATCTAGAATTTTCGAAACATTTGTTGTAAAGTTTCTTGTTTCCCTGCCTCTCCTAGGATTTTCGAACATCCAAAAAATGGTATATTTGCCTATTTTTAACGGATTTTTACCCTAAAAAGGTCGCTAGAATTTTCGGAAGCCTTTTTTCTGGCTGAAATTTTCGAAAAGGTAAGTTTTGATCCCTATAATTTTCGGATCACTAGACTTTCAGCTAGGAAATCCGAACAGATGAAAATTTTTAGGGGATAAAAATATGCCTTTATCTACCGTTTAAATACTAAAATACGTTTAACAATGCTATATTTAAGTGGTTTTGAACTATATTCTCGTTGGGTGCCCCTGTATCGTGCGCACGTCACACAAAATATAATACTGATTTGTATAACAGTTTCACTTTAAATAACGTAAACTAATGATAAATACGATATAGCTAAAATGACAGATATTTTTTAGTTAATATCAGGATTAATATATTAATATATGGTAAAATAGTTGCAATTACCCTTCGCGTGATTTTTTCCTCAATACTGCAGCAGTATCGCTAGTGTTGACCCCAGCGTTTATACAAACTTACTCTGGGTGCATGGACCAGGCGTTTATGCCGGGGAATTGCAGATTTTTCAAGCCCGCAATTTTTTTTAAAGAAAAAATCTGGTGCTCTTTTTTTTCTTGAGAGCTGTGTATTCCCTATTTGTAAATGCCCCTACTTTCTTGCGCAAACAAAACAGGACATCCCGGGAGGGCAAGATAGGTCACCTTAGCTTGCACGCTCGCCGAGCCAACCATTTAATAACCGCGGGGTTTTGTGGTATGCTATGCATAAATAAAAGAATGTTTTTTGTTTAGTGTTTCCTCAATCTTTCTTCTTTCCTTCAGTCCTATGCTCCACTCATTCAGTTAACCTGTATTGATTCGCCCCATTCAGATTTCGGAATCCGCGAAATTTTTGCTTGTGCAATCCGGAATCCGGGAAAATACTGCTTGCAGAATCCGGAATGCAGCTTAAGGAATCTGTAATCCCAGTAACGACTGGACTCCACAATCCAAGTTCCAGTGACAAAAACTGAATTCCAGTACTTGGAATGGAATCCAAGGCTTGAAATCCAGAATCCAAGACTGTCTTAGACTCCCTTACAAAGGGCGTCTGTGCTTCATTACGAAGTCGAAAATTCAGCCGTTAGAGCCAGAGGCCTCTTTTCTCTGCTATTCGGCGGGTCTCAGGGTATTATTCTTTCCCTCCTACCCGCCGAATACCAGGGAAAAGAGGCCTCTAGTAGCAGTGAATAAGCCTGTTGATGAATTGTTTGCTTCCGTAATCTCAAACAAATACAAAGATGCAAGTGATGACAGAAGTAACCACAATCCAAACTTTTCTAGAAGCTGTTGTTAAGGCGGAGCTTTTTGTGGGGTACCTAGTACGTTCCAGAAAATAGGTCAAATTTGACGGCGAGACACTGGTTACTGGTTGGACACTACTGAATAGCAAGACTCCATTTGATTGTTGGACAGTACTAGATGGCCAGACAGTGTTGGTTGTTGACACACTGGATGCAACTGTCGCAGTATGACTTTCACCGGCGTGTGATATTCCTGAAATAAATTATAAAAGAAATTCAAACATTGCAGATGTATTCACTAAATTAAAATTGGCGTTTTTGATTTGAAAACAATTTGGAATTCTCTACCTAAAAACGTGACACGCTTTGTTTAATTTGAAACCATAAAAATTGTTTGACCTCTCTTTTGACTTACACGATTGTATAGAGCGATGCTTTCCCTAGTTCTTCAAAATTATAAGCAAATGAGGAGATCATCCTATTCAATTTCAATAACACAGTCTGGTTTTACACTTTCTACTTAACTTATGTACTGTACTCTGTCTTTTGCTGGGTCAAAATTGCCCTTAAAATACAATCCCATAATTCAACGCAACATCGGCCCAGTCTCCAGCGCAACCGCACATGACCGATGGCTCTTCAAGCTCAACAGCGGCTCCTAACTACTGTTTTCTGTAAAATATCTGTTGGGAGAAGCAAATATTGCCTAGAATTTTCTATTACTTGGGGACGGCTTAAAATTTCCAGATGACTGTTCCATTCATGTACAATTTTTCGAAGCTTGTGTAATAAATGTCCTACGATTTTTGAAGTTTAATTTTTCACATTTTGCTCCACAGGCCAGGCAATTTTTCGTAGTAAAAAGGAAACTTAAAATTTTCTAATTAAAAGATGCGATGGAGAGAGGAATTAGGAATATTCTCACTTTCGTAAAACGTTAAATTGCATCTAAAATTTTCGGGAAAACAATACTGGAGCCCTAATAATTTCGAACAGACTCAAAATGCCCTAGGATAACCGAACAGATAAAAATTTTATAGCGCTGCCTAGAATGCCTTTCTAGAGATCTAAAGGTAATCTGGGTAGCCTAAAAAGTGTTTTCAATGAATGTAAAAGGAGACCATCGTTGGGTGCCCCTGACTTAGACCCGATGCAAGACGAAAGTATAATTACCTGAGAATATATTGACGAGAATCCATATTTTCTCAAAATGAACTTTCCCCAAAGCTGACCCACTCTGAACTTCAACTCTTATCTCTCGGCCATTGTCAGCTTTTTGAATGTCAGTCAGCACTAACGCTCCACCCTTCACATCAAAACGGTTTGTCCAGTTTATGGAGGGATCATTCCCATTCTTGTTCACCGTTATTTCACATCGTTTTGTATTACAGTACGCAATTTTATTGGCATTTGCGTCTGTGAACTCCATGTCAATCACTTGATCCCATGGCAGCTTGTCCGACAAAAACTTGGTCAAGTTAGCTTTTCCTGCTATCCACGTATGAATGCCTACATGAAGAGAGAAACAGAAAGATAATGCCCAATTTAAAATGTCCTTAAAACACACTTAGTCTTCCTTCGAGAAGTTTGGTGGATAATTTCATCTTTCGTTTTCATGTACGTACAGTGTGAATATTCGAGTGACAAGTTTTGATTTCTACCGAAAAGGAATTAAAGATTTTGATTAGCCCATCTGGGCTCTTGAGGTTGCCTAACCTATTCTAGTAAAAATATTGATGGATACTCACGGATGACAGTAAATTTGACTCGAAAGATGTGATGCTCGACACTTGGCTTACTGTTCTTGAACAAGTCTCGATATCTGGGTTGAGTTTGTTGTTGGTTCTCTCCTTTGCTCCGAGAGGTTTTTCAACGGGTACTCCGATTTTCCCCTTTCCTCAAAACCAACATTCACAAATTCCAATCAGACCACGAGGGATTAGGTAGACCAAGAACCACTTAGTAGAAGTGCTACCTCTAGATCGTTATTTATTTATTTTATTTAGTTATTTATTTATCTTACAACAACTAGCAACACTCACAAATGGCTGTAAAGTTGACTTTAAAGATGTGACGTCTGGCGCCATTCTCTAGCCAAACTTCAAATAAGAACTGGGCGCGGTCACCGGCGTTACCCCCAGCTCTATGTACCAAAGTTATTAAAGTACCATTAGCACTAACTCGCACTTTTGTTCCATCTGGTAATACTGGTTTTATCATCTTACAGACCGGGAGACTTGTGCAGTAAATCACATCTGTCCATTTGTCTTTTTGAGAGTATCTCACTTTCCAATAGTACCCAGTTGATGATGAAGTCACCCCGACATCTCTCAAAGTTTCATCACCCGATAAGGTTAGTTTACCGTTGGAGCACGCTAGACATTCCGTAATCATGAACCCTGAATAGCAAAAAAGATGAGCATAACTTGATGGAAATCCTTAAGATTTTTATTGTCGTTGAAATAAATCTGCATGATAATTCACCTGTCAATGTCAACTGTCAATGGAAACCCCCGCAGTCCCCTCCCCCGGCCGGGATATGGCGGGGTCATTCGACAAGCGCTCACTGCTGAAAAGTTGTAAAATTCCCTGCACCCCGAGGTCAGCTTTTTCTTCTAATTGAAGCTAATTAACCCGCTCATATTCCCCGCTCTTGTTGAAAAAGGTAGAAGACACAGGCTAATGTAAGTAGTTTAAACTTTATTCGCCAGGTAACACGTCACCACATACAATGATTTTCAAGTGGTATAAATATTTGTGGTGTTTTTGTGTAAAACATTTCAGGGAAAAGAGAACTTCTACATGCTAGTAGAAGAGGGTTAAATGTGAGTAAATGCAGTTTAAAATTGTAGATCAAAATTTGAACTAACACACTGTTTCATAGAATGAGTTTAAAGACAACTTTCATTCAACTATTTTTGTACCCAGTCCACCTCGGTGGAAAATACACCGGTCCACTTCCCCGCTGTACTTGGAAAGCGCGCAAAAGTCTTCGAAGTCCCCAATATCTGCGGTCTTTTCGCTCGTCAAATAACGGAAAATTCCCTGCAAATGTTCCGGGTTTTGATTCCGGATCGCGAAATTGAAAACCACAACATAACCCTGATATCTAATCCAACGCACCGCTGTTTCTCAGTTTTCCCCTTTTCATTATTAATAGCCTGAGCTGATAGTAGTGAGTTTACGCAACAGGACGGCAGGAAGAAGAGGACGGCAAAACAGCTGTGTGTGACAAACGTGACAGGGCTATAACTTGCATGTTATGTCGTGATCTTCACTCAGCATTACTGTTTTCTGGTTTTTACAAAAAGATCTGTTTAAAGGAAAGTGATGGTTGGCGAAAAGTTTTTTCAGACAAATTTGTTGTCACGGTTGTCACACAAGGTTTGCCGTCTTCTTTCCTCTCCCGTCCTGTTGCGTAAGTTCACTAGTATCGACATTATTGTAGATGTGAACAATCGCGTGACCGTTGAATTTAGGCAACTTTTCGATTTCATAACGTGTACAAGATGGAATCTTACTTTAATTATGCACTTCTACAGGGGCTTCTAGTCACTTTCAAAGTCAATTAACTAATGGTCAAAATTTTAAAATGCTGCATTGTCAGCATTTTGATCGTGGGATCACAAAATGAAACTAATAATTGTTCATTAGCTGTTTTTCCTTGACACGGGAGGTTTTGGGACCTTTTGGGCACTAAGGAATGTTTGTTTTCACTCACTTATGTACTATGCAAACAAAGATTCATGAAGTCATGACAATGAACTGACGGAATACATTTTTATCCCTTAATTACTTAAATACCTCATTGACCTATAAACTACGTTTTTCTGTGATCAACAACTTTAAATCTAAATACACTGGTGTTGAGAGTTTTCATTTCATATCAGACTGTGTTCGATGGAAGTTGGTTCAAAATAACCGAATGTTACCTAAGAACAACGCTGTGCGTGAGCTATTTTAAATAGGCCTACTCTGGGACCTAAAGTGGCCTAAAGTCGCCCAAAGTCGCCTTAAGTCGCTTAAAATCGCCTTAAGTCGCCTAAAATCGCCTTAAGTCGCCTAAAGTCGCCTTTAGTTTCCTTAAGTCACTAAATCATTCAAATCTTAACAAGGTTCAAATTGTCTTGTAGTTATTACTTTTTTAGTTTTCTATTTCCAGAATGCATGATTTCTCATAAAGTGTGTAATAACCCGTGTTCAATAATATTAGCCACACACCCACCCCACCCCCCACAAAAAAACTCCCATGGTGACTTAAGACCCATCAATTTCTTCTCCAGCCCTCTAATTTATACATATAATTACTTTACACAATTTACTACACGTACTAATTAGTCGTAAGCAATACAAGAATAATCATTCCTGTATTGTTTATGCAAAAATGACAACATATAGCACACAACTTTATCCAGTACTTGTACAGGTATTTTATTAATTTCATCCGGGAGGTTTGTCTCATCAGTTCCTGAGTAAAAACATTGTTTAAAAAGGCATTCAAAGGTTCAAGTTCTAGCTAAATTACATTAAACAGTGTGCAAAGAGAGTAGACAGAGTAGTGTCCAGGTAATAGCCCTGGGGTACTGGATTTTAGGATTGGGCTAGTGAACTGCGTTTTTAACTTGCCTGGCTGGCAAGTAAAGTTTTTTAGGGAATTCAGATTACAGAAGAACTGTAATCAGTCCCATTCATAAAAAAATTGGGGTTAGTCAAAATGGCTTTCAGGCTAGTGTATGCTAGGCAAGCTGTAAAGCTGACTTTCTTTGCACCCCGAACAAAATATAGTTAAAACTCTTTTCTACTGCTTTGTGAGAGTCCAACATTGAAAGACATTTCAAGTAACTAAGATCAATACAGGTAGGTTGAAGGGAGAAAAAAAAATTATTATTGCCGCCACAACATTAATCTAAATTTTCTGGTAGTTAATACAAGTCTAAAGGTCAATCGAAAGAAGTGTCCATGTAAATTATCGACCCAGATTTTAAGAGCAACTAATGATAAGTTTTTTCTCCAGCACACAACCTCTGATCTGTATTTACCGTCGAATTATATCCATCTATCATTGACAGAAACACAATCACTCTTATAAACTTGAACACTTAGCTTAGCTTGTACGTATACAGTCGTCTCTTTAGGTCTTCCCTTCCAGACAGAAATTCAAGCTTTGTACATCGAAGGTGCGTAATACTGCTCTTGGTTTATGTTGTCGTGATTGCTCCCTGCCAACGATTTGATGTAATCGACCATTATTGATGAAGAACGTAGAAAAGCGAAATAATACTGTTCTTTCCTCCACGTTATGGCCGCCCAGAAAGTAGTGTGTTTTGATCACGTGACTAACTGGTCTGGAGGCGGGGAGAGGGCGGGACCGAGAAACCATGGAAATTAGCTTGCGACTGAAGTGGAATTCTGGGAGAAGCAAAATGGCGGATAAAATGTTGTGCCTCGCGTTTTCGTTTAAAGATCTCCTTTTAAATGGAAATTTCTGACATAATTATGGAAACGTTTACACTTGGTACTGCCATCGGTTTAAACATGACGCACAATGCTTCCTTTTGTGCTGAGAGCGTAAACGCTGCCGCGTGGAACAGACCGAGCGAGGTTGGTTGAAGCTAAGCTTAGTTGTTTCTGCTGGTGCATAAATGCACTCATGAAATCAACCCGACTGGAAAGTTTCCAGAGAGACCATGGATAAGAGAGTACGGTTCACTAGCGAAGCAAGTATTTGGAAGTGTTTTGTTTGACTGAGACAGGAAAGGAGCAATATATATATACGGCGAAAAGTACAAACTTTTTGTTTTGAATTCAGTTGGGAAAACATCCTCTTAGCCAAACGTGTGGGGACAAACATTGGCAGAGCAACTGCCAAGACATACAATGGGGATCGTCATTTCCATAATGTGCGATATCGATAAGTGATTTTAGATGTTTTAAATTAATTACTTAAATGTTTGTTGTCAAATTATGAAAAAAAGACACTTCAATATAAAGTTTTTGCTACAAACCAGCTCACAGTATGTTACAGAGATGTATTGAAATACTCTACTTTTATGGTTTTATTTTTTGGAAAAAGAAATGCAGGAACCATTGATTTTTTGTCCCTTATATTATGAAATAATGCATTTAAAGACCAAGAGAAAATTTACCCTTTTGGTTGCTTCTAACTCAGATTTTGTCTCTGCTAATGTAATACTAAACCAACACCCTTGATATTAGCCTGTGCCACAGATGGAACTAAACTCTGGGTTAAGTCCATCTGCAAAACAGTGGCAAAATCCTAGTTCTGGGCCCCCTGTGTGTGTATCAGGATTAGAGAACATGCCAGGACTGGACTGTTAAAAATGCCATTGTCCATTTGCCAATCATGTTGAAGGGGAACTCAAAATGCTGGTAATTCATTTAGTGCATCAGGGCCCAGAACAAGGATATTAGAGCTGCTTCACGAATGTTACTAACCACAGTTAGAATACACCTGCAACACAAGCTACCTTGATATTTAATGTTCAAAATATTAGGTAGCTGAGATTGTTGAAAATTTGGAAGACTAATGTAGATGTCTTCAAGACTGAATTAACTTATGCTACAACATTGTGTCCCTAGAGAGGTAGTGTTATCAGATTTTGATTTTGTATATGTTGTAGTTCATTTTTCTTTCAGTTAATTTTTATTTTTCCATCGTTTCTGGGTATGGTTATGTATGCTAATGAATTTAAAACGAAGGAAAACCACAAATTAACTGAAATTAAAAATTAACTGCAACATATTCACTGACATGTAACTCACCTAAATGTCACCTTTTTCTCCTTAAGTCACCTAAAGTCGCCTTAAATCGCCTTAAGTCGCGCAACATTTTGACCAAATTTTCCTAAAGTCGCCTTAAATCGCCTTAAGTCGCCTAAAATTACGGCGACTTAAGGTCCCAGAGTAGGCCTTTAAATAGGAAATCCAGCTAAAAATCGAACATCGTTATTGTAATGTATTATTGCTTAATGATCGGTTGTTTTTCTATTTAGTATTAAGTTTCAATCAGACAAGTTACCGCCACGTCTATATTCGTTTTAAATTACAACCTTTCACCAATACGGCTACCTGATGATATATGCTCGTAAGCACACTTCAGCGGTAGTTCTTACCTCGTGAAACATTGTATTGAAAACCAAGTGCGATCCAGCAAAATACAACAATCAAACTCTTCTCCATTTTAAGCGTAAACGTACCATTTGTGCTGAGAAGTTAAGGCCAAAGCGCTATAAAACTTTAAAGCATTCAGTTCTATTCTATTCTTTTCAGGGGTTTTTTAGCTTGACTTTATAAAACATCGGGAATTTCCCGGCCCCGCAACCTTTATCAAGGTGAAGGTAATTTCCCTCTCCCAAGCGGAAGACGTCTGGGCCAAAATTTCCCTTTCGCTCGTGCAGTTTCAGTTTAAGTTTCACTTTAATTATATTTGTAGTCCGTTGAGCAAAACGCGAGACATGCAAATGGCCACGCGCGTGCACTCACTGCTCTCACCAAATCCGAAGAAAAAGCAGAAAAAGAGACTGCTCGCAGTCTATCTCAAATGGTTTTCTCTAAGTCTGTTTGGCTAATTTAGAGCTGCCCTAAAAACTATTTATTTGTTCCGATATCTAAGGGGAAATTTCGGTGAAGCGTTTTGTATTTACACCGGAATTTTCAGGAGACCTCTTTTAACAATAATCGCAATATCTTGCTAATAAAATATGGAAAACACCCGAGCACTGGCAGTCTGTCTAGCGGGATAGATACCGAAAAAACATAGATAACCTTTTAGTTGGCGAGCGGGTACTGTAAATTTGTTAATCATTAATGAGTTTGAAAGCGTAGTCAGTCCATGCAAGGATTAGGTACACGCATCATCATCCCTTTTAGTCAGTTCGAATCTCAATTGCGTTGCAACTTTGCACAGTCTTCCAGTCTTAATAGATATGTTGTGGTTCAATCTTTTTCTTTGGTTTAAAGTTTATTTTCCTTTGTTTTAAAGACATTATCATACGTTACCATACCCCAAAACAAAGGGAAATAAAATTTAAACCAAGGATAAAATTGAACAACAACAAATACATCCAGTGCAGTTTATAATAGTCGGCTGGGTCTGCAATTTTTTCTGTATAAGAAACTGCAATCTGCGAATAACTTAACTGTCAAGTCAATACCAAAGAAAAAAAGACTTTCGAACTAAACAACCAAAATCAGTGGCCTCAGGACGGTGCTCTGAGCCACTATAGAGAACACAGTTATTAGTCAGGTCTCTTAAGGTCAGGATCGTTACAGAGTTGACAAAAGCACCAAACTTTGCACAGCGATAGCTTATTGTAGTACCATGAATATTAGAGGGGGTGCCCAATGCAAATATGCGACTGAAGCGTGCTAAACAGGATTTAATTATTGTAAATTTCACCTGCTGGCGTCCCTGTGGTGTTTTGATTGAAAATTGTTATTTAATACCTTAAATTACTCAGAATGCTCTTCTCATATTGTAAACAACAATTTCACTCGAACATCTGGCATTCCCATCCATTATTAGCTTATTGATTGTATAATTAAGTTGATTATTACTGTGCCCTTAAAGCAAGTCCACAGTCCGCCCACATTTTCATAAGTCATTCCTAAGATGGCCTTGTCTTTGCTTCTAACTTGCAAGTACTCAGCTTTTGGGCTTCTCTTATCCTTTTCTAATATACTTCAATTAGAGGAGGCCTTATTGTGTGGCTTAAGCCTTATTTATCAAGTATTACTTGTCATTACATGTCACTTTAAGCTAAAGAAAGCGTATGGCATAGCAATTCACACGCAAAATTTCAGAAAAAAGAAATTGTCAAAGGGTCTGTTGTATCACATATTATCAGGGATTTATGACAGCTGTTCATGAAGAGCAAATAACGAAATGACAGAACCCAAAATAGTTCTTTCCTAAGGAGGTAGTTAATTTTTTAACATAGGCCTGGATACCTTTCAGTCTCTCTTTATGTGCTGGACACACGTGCATGTTTTGACAGAGAAGCAAGCACCATGGCACAAGTCATATCATTTACCGTACAATTCCCGCAGTTGTCTAAGCTTTACAAAGCAAAAACAAACAACAAAGAATCTGGTCTCATAAACGAAAAAAAGAAACAAGTTAGCCCAAGCTTCAAAAAACAGCACACTTTATCATGAAGCCTCTACATTTGGCATTGAAGCACCCATGTCCAAAAATAATAACAGCTTATCAAGTCGTAAAAGTGAGACTCAAGTGGTACAAGATTAACTGCTTAACTGTAGAAATGGGGCCGGGCTAACTTTTAGGGCCTGTTTACATGGAGGAGGGGGACCCCAGGTAGGCATGGTAACCCACTTAGATAGGGTAACCCGCCTGCCCATATAATCTCTCATTTTAATTTGATCACGTTTACATGATAGGTGGGGTGACCCTTCAAGGTGGGTAGCCCGGTCTGCCACACGAGGTAACCCTCTCAGCTGAGGTCATATTTTGTTATGTCAACGTTTCAAGGTGAGGTAACCCAGGCTAGTCGGGGCCGGATTCTTGATACATCAAATTCACGCAAAATTCACTTTGGCGCCGGGTGGCTTCACATAATTATAACAGTAGAACAATAGAAAGCCACAACACTGAAGGTTGCGGCAAGAGCAGCAAGTGAGCGTAGACGTGGTTTGCCAGCATTTTTCTTGTTTACGTGCTTAGCGACCATTCAATAATCTTGAGAAACTGCACCCCAGGATGGTGGGGTTGTAAGATTGCATGTAAAGGAGGGTTATTTTTTACCTCACCTAAGCAGGTCACCTCACCTACCTGGGGTCCCCCACCTTTATGTTAACAGGCTTTAAGTCTCAGGAACCGTGAAACTGGTAATAAACGGTATACCTAACCCGGGACTAACTTTGATACTACTTCCGTCTTCAAGATGGTCAGCATAGCAGCCAAAGGAGCCGTTATATCGGTGTAACACGAATATTAGATTGCGGTTGTTTCATGCGTCTCGTTTTGTCACTTTTTGTTTGTGTTCGTTTTTGTCACCATCATGTTCAAAACACCCCTACTAACAAAATATTTCGTAAAACTCTTTAGAATGATGTTCAGCAATAAAAACAAGGTGTGACCAGGAACCGATTTCTAGGCACCTGGTGTGGTAATATAGGCATAAGTGAATACAAAGTNCAGCAAGTGAGCGTAGACGTGGTTTGCCAGCATTTTTCTTGTTTACGTGCTTAGCGACCATTCAATAATCTTGAGAAACTGCACCCCAGGATGGTGGGGTTGTAAGATTGCATGTAAAGGAGGGTTATTTTTTACCTCACCTAAGCAGGTCACCTCACCTACCTGGGGTCCCCCACCTTTATGTTAACAGGCTTTAAGTCTCAGGAACCGTGAAACTGGTAATAAACGGTATACCTAACCCGGGACTAACTTTGATACTACTTCCGTCTTCAAGATGGTCAGCATAGCAGCCAAAGGAGCCGTTATATCGGTGTAACACGAATATTAGATTGCGGTTGTTTCATGCGTCTCGTTTTGTCACTTTTTGTTTGTGTTCGTTTTTGTCACCATCATGTTCAAAACACCCCTACTAACAAAATATTTCGTAAAACTCTTTAGAATGATGTTCAGCAATAAAAACAAGGTGTGACCAGGAACCGATTTCTAGGCACCTGGTGTGGTAATATAGGCATAAGTGAATACAAAGTTTTGTGGTATGTAATCTGTCAGAAATCTGTTTGAGTGGTCAAAGTTAGGGCTGATGAGGTTCTTTACCATGACCACTCCATTATTATAAGGGACCAGGCCTTAATTATTGTTAACCCTTGCTTTTTTTGGTATTTTCTGTAATTTTCCATAGCGTTATTTTGTGAAAAGTTGGTAACTAAATTGCTCCTGAGGAATTCATGATCGTAAGATTTCGTAACCACGGGGTATTCGCCTAATTGCATCAAACAAATTACATTCATTTTCATAAATGATGCATCATTGGTTGGCTAAAAGAGGCCTTGTTCCCGTAAATTTCAGCTCTTCTGAAGTTAGTTTGTTTGTAAATTGTAACGCACGCGACGACCATCCCTTTTTTTGAAAGATAGTATAGACCTACCATTAACACTCTGGTACAAGGACTCTGAAGTGAATCAGCTCCTAAAAAGGTGTCTAGGCATGCAGGGACCTCATACACTTCTTTGTAAATGCAAATGTGTAAAAAAATAATTAAGAGTGTTAAAAATTCCAGGAGAGGCATGTTTTACAACCTCGACCCCAGGGCTTTATAAAAAGGTAGAAAAAGGTAAAGCGACCATATTTTACGTCAATAACTTGTGACAGTAATAATAACTGATAAACTTGAGGTCGACGGTGCGCTTCTTTTACCCTCCTCTCTCCATTAATTCTCCGTTTTAAGGGTATTTAAAGCTAGTCAAAGCTACACAGAAAGAAGAGAAGTTGAACAAAGGATGTGTTGACGCCGGCAATCGAACCTCGGGACCTCGCTCACCGAAGGCTGCGCACTAACCAACTGTGCCACCATTGCTCATCCTTTTTCCCCTGAGGACGAGGCTGACATGTTTTAACCATTATCTCAAGGACAGGGTCACCAACGAAGCAAATTATAATCTAATCTTAGCTGCACAATTACAAAGTGGGTGCGTTGTCAGTTACGGTTCATGAGGTCGTTCATGTGGCATGTCAAAATTTAACGATTCTATCGTTTAGGATGTGATACATTTGGGTTTTATGTTATTGTATGACATCTTTGAAAGCTGGCTTTGTGATCTGTTTAAATTGATATGTAATGATATTATCACTGGCAAGTCTTAGCAGTGACACTGATAGCCGCACAGACCGCACAGTGAATATGGCCACACTTACCGTGTTGAGACTGGGCACTAGTCAGTATTATGTACATGTAAAACAATTTTGAATAGTGCAACAACAACTAAGCCTTACCAAATTAAAAACTTAAAAATTTGAAACAAATCAAACAAGAAGAATACTCACCACAGGGACCCCAATCTGCTATTTTAGGTGAAAGTTAACCCCCGCTTTTATCTGTAATTAGGACCATTTGTAACGGGCACCCCCTCCAGTATTAATCAGTAGGTGCTAAGGAAGCTCTGTGCCAAATTTGACACTTTTGTCACGTCTGTAACGATCCGGCCTATATTTTGCACTAAGAGACCTGACTATATAGGCCACTTAGATTCTTAGACTTCTTACAATGTTTATGACCGCTGTCTGTGTTTTTGTTTGTATTTTTCAGTTCGTAAACCCGGAAAGTCAGCTTTAGTATTCTTTACATCTATTTAGAATAAAGCGAAGATCGACTAAAAGCTCCACAGAGCTTGCTTGATCTCCTGCCTTGTTAGATTGAGTATGTGAATGTATGGAAAATAAAGGCACCTTTTCTTCTTTGATTTTTGATGAAGCTACAGTTTGGAATATGTAGTTGCGCACACTCGTATTGCCGGGCGGAGCCGCGCCTGCTCGATCCTCACCATCAAAAACAACTGAAACAAGGTAGTATCTCGTCGCTTATCATAAATTAGCCTGCGTGGCAGGCGTTCGAAAGGGAAGGGGAAGGGAATTAGAGCGCGAGACCCTCCCTCCCTCCTTCCTCGCACGCCCCTCGCGTTTCTCTCACGACTAAAACTCCCTTTCCCCAAAGTTCCCTTTCCCTTCCCTTTCAAACGCCTGCCACGCAGGCTAATCATAAATAGATCTAAATATTTTCAAAGCGACAACAAGATCAGGTTCTATTTTCAAGAGTGAAAAGTAAATCATCACGCCCAGTATCATGCTTTGTATAAAACTTTAATTATTTACAACAACGTCATAAATATGAAAATCCAAGAAATCCTAAATACTCTCAATAATTACACCTGCTTTACAAGAAAACGGTGAAAGAAGATGAATTAAACTTACGAAGAGACCGCTGTTAAAATTGTATGCTTTCAACTTTTTCCAGAGCCCAAAAAAAAAAGAGCACAGTCCTCACCATGTTTTGGTTTTTGCTTTTTTGTTTCTTTTTTTATTTCTATTTTCCTGCTCGCTTTCCCGCTTTTTTTTTTCGCTCGAGCAACTTACCAGTTGAGTCAAAGTCCTATACCATTCCAGTGGTGGATCCAGGGGAAGGACCCGGGGTTTACTTGTATGCTTTGCATAAATAAAAGAATGTTGTTTGTTTTGTGTTTCCTCAATCTTTCTTCTTCCCTTCATTTCTGCTCTCCGCTCATTCAGTTAACTTGTATTGATTCGCCCCATTCGGATTCCGGAATCCGCGAAATTTTGCTTGACGTGCAATCCGGAATCCGGGAAAATATTGCTTGTAGAATCCGACATCCTGGGCTTTGGAATCTAGAATACAGCTTAAGGAATCCGTAATCCCACTAACGATTGGAATCCACAATCCAAGTTCCAGTGACAAAAACTGGAGTCCAGTACTTGGAATCCGGAATCCCCGGCTTGAAATCCAGAATCTAGGACTGTCTTAGACTCCATTACAAAGGGCGTCTGTGCTTCATTGCGAAGTCGAAAATTCAGCCGTTAGAGCCAGAGGCCTCTTTTCTCTGCTATTCGGTGGGTCTCAGGGTAATATTCTTTCCCTCTTACCCGCCGAATACCAGGGAAAAGAGGCCTCCGCTAGCAGTAAATAAGCCTGTTGATGAATTGTTTGCTTCCGTAATCTCAAACAAATACAACGATGCATGTGATAAGGACAGAAATAACCACAATCCAAACTCTTGTAGAAACAGTTGTAACGCAGCTTGTTGTGGGGTACCCAGTACGTTCTGCAGAAGTCACATTTGACGGCGAGACACTGGTTGCTGATTGCACACTACTGAATAGCGAGACTCCATTTGACTTTGAGACAGTACTAGATGGCCAGACAGTTTTGGATGTTGAGGCACTGGGCTGATCTGTCGCAGTATGAATTTCACTAGCGTGTGATGTCATTCCTGAAATAAATTATAAAGCTGAAACTTAAACATTGCAGATGTAGTCACATGGGTGGTTGGCTAATTTGATTTTTTAATTAAAAAAATTGGAATTCTGTACCCTGGACGTAACGAGTTCTATATTTGAAACCATAAAATTGCTCAATGTTCTGTTGACTAATATAGTGTATAAAGCAATGTTTCCCCTAGTTCTTCAAATTTATAAGCAAATGAACAGACCAGCACATTCGATTTTTATCAGGCGCGGTCTTGTAAAACTCTTTCTATTCTCTGTCCAATTTAACTTACGTACTGTACTCTATCTTCTGCTGGGTCAAAATTCGTCCCCCAATATAGTCCCATAATGCAATTCGACACAACAGACTTTGGTAGCCTGCGTAACTGACGTCTTAGCATTAGATAACATCGGGTGAAGCCAGCGTGGACACCTTATGAGGTTTACTCAACGCATTTTTGTCTTAGCCTAACGCGACTGAAACAGAGACCCCAATAACCTTGTGGAATAGCTGAAAAAACTTCAGAGCGACAATTAAGGAGGGAACATACTTAAGAGTTAAGCACTGATCTGCAGTGATTAGGGTTAAGCATTGAACTGAAAACCTCTAGCTTTCAAAAACTGTGATAGGTACGGGTACATGCATGTTTTAAAAATTACTGGATTTGGCAGCCATTCCTCGATGGTGTAGTGGATATAGATGTACGTTATGAAGCTAACGACCCGGCTTCAGAGCATTCCAGGTGTGTTTATCTATCTTATTTTATATTACACTTTTAAGTTGGACTTAAGTTGTTCTTCATTTAATTTTCCGCGCTGAAAGAAACAATGGTTTCAGCCGATGTTACCTAATGCTAAACAGCTGACGTAATCGTTGTTGTTTGTTGTTTTTTTTTTTTGCGCGAGTGAGAGCTTCGCGAGCCGCCATTCAAAGCTCCACACGGCTTTGCAGCTCCTCCACCAAAATCATCAATTTAAGTGGCCTATGGCTCGTCAAACTCAAACCCGATACATGTCGAAAGTATGATTACCTGAACATGTATTTACTAGAATCCATATCTTTTCTGGATGAACTTTCCCGACACCCGACCCACTATGAGCCACAACCCTAATCTCTCGGCAATTGTCAGCTTTTTGAATATCAGTCAGTACCAACGCTCCATCCGTCTCATCAAAACGGTTTGTCCAGTTTAAGGAGGGATCATTCCCATTCTTGTTTACCGTTGTCGTACACTGTTTAGTATTGCAGTATGCAATTTTATTAGAATTTGCGTCGGTGAATTTCAGATCAATCACTTGATTCCATGGTAGCTTGTCCCGTAAAAACTTGGTCAAGTTAGCTTTTCCTCCAATCCGCGTTTCAATGCCTACATACAGAGAGAAAGAGAAAATAAAATTCAGATAAATTATATGATTAACTCTTATCACTGGGTCTCTTAAAAATTCCCTTTTTTGAAGCAATTGACTGTTCCAAACAGTGTGAAAACACCCGGAGGACAATGTCTTAACTATCTTAAAACACAGTTTGCACCTCATTCAGGGAATGTAGTGGGCGATTTTGTTTTAATCATGCAATATGTTTATGTGCCAAATGCATGTGAAAAGGTTTGATTTTCAGAGGGTGAAAAGAAATTATAGATTTCAGTGGCCCATCTGAGCTCTCGAAGTTGTCTAGCTTCAGTTAATAAATTCATAATAAAAGACATGTACACTCACAGATGACAGTAAATTCTACTTCAAAGATGTGATGCTCGACACTTGGCTGACTGTTCTTGACCAGATTAACTTCAAAGAGAAACTCGGCGTGGTCATTGGCGTTACTCCCAGCTCTATGTTCCAAGGTTATTAAAGCTCCATTAGCACTAACTTGCACTTTTGTTCCATCTGGTAATACTGATGTAATAGTTGTACAGAACGCGGAGCTTCTGCAGTGAATCAAGTCTGCCCAGTCTGTCTGAGAGAATCGCACTTTCCAATAGTAATCAGTTATTGTTGAAGTCACCCCGGCATTTCTCAGAGCTTTATCTCCGGATAAGGTAAGTTTACCGTTGGAGCACGCCAGGCGTTTTGTAGTTGTGGCTCCTGAAATAGGAGCGTAACGTTATGTTAAGGCCAGAGATTTAATCGTGTATAACTTACCAGCAAAAGCACATACTTCAATTTGTTGAAGTCGCTGTGACACTTAAAAAAGCAAGTACGATAATTTCTATTATGCATACGAGATCTAAAAGTATAGTCTACGTAACTGATCCGGACAATTAATATTACGTACAATTTTAAAACACGCTTACGACATAGGAAGTAGATGCCTTCTGTTTCTTTACACTGTTCAGTTTAGCGTAAATAGTGGCTATTCACATTGCAACTCGACGTTTCTTCTAAAACCGGCTTATGAAGTTGCATGTTTGGCGGCAACACGCTGTTCAGCTGGGTCCAGTTATTCAGTTCGAGGAAATGAGCAGGAAAATGTCTAAAATGTTATTATAAAACGTCCGTGACTCTTCAGTGTTGCAGTCATAAATTCATGGTCCATCCGGCTTAAACAAAAGATGTCAGATGTTCCAATGTTACAAAAGTTTTAATGAACACTTAACACAAGATTTTAGCGTCATTAATTCTAGGAATGAATTATGAATTGTAGACTCTGCGAACCGCTCAAGCAGGCAATCAGCCTGATATCGAACTCGATGTGAACAAATGAGATGCGTCCCGATCCTAGTTCGCAGATACCAAAGCATGACCCGAAAAGGGCGACTTCTTCAATTCGTTACCATGTACAATTTGTTTAGTCCACTCCGTCAAAACACATTATTGTCAGGTCGTTCTCTACATTGTTTTTCTTTCAAGCGAACGATCGCGTGACTGTTCAATACGATTATTTCACCACGTGTACAAGATCCCAAGCACGAATGCATCTTCTCGATCACGCGAAAATTCTAGCTCACAGTAGATTGGCGTGCCAAGTGATAAGGACCCTCTTTTGCGAAAAATTCGCATGACTCAACTATGCACTTTCTCAATAGTCTCTGCGTATGCTTTTGTTCTACTGACCCCAACACGAAACTGAAAGGGCGGCTAATTGATTTATGAGTTTGACAATACATGAGAATTTTCCCTGTCAGCCTCTCTGTGTACAAAACCGATCTTGTTTGTTTTCATCACGTATCACGGAAAATCAAAGTCGAGCTAAGTGTACAAAGCGATATTTCTTGAAATGGACAGCCACTAACTTGAAACGAAGGTATCAACTTCAATTGGTAGTTTCTGAATACTATATTAACAGTACATACATCATTATAACGGAATATTTAATCCCGTAACTGATTATTTAAATACTTTGTTGACAGACAAAATTACTGAGCATTTAAATGTTACCATCATGTGTTAGTGATGATAAGCTGTCTTCCTATCTGGACCTCAGTGCTGTTTGTATTCATTTGTACTTAATTATGACCGACGTCTCACCTATATGCTCTGAGTTACTAGAGCTGATGATTTATGGAAAAGCGATACGGTGTCAACCGCTTTGGAAAAAAAACGGTGGTATTACTTACCATGCACAACGAAGCCAAAGGAAAACCAGATCCAGTATAATAAAACTGTTAAAGTCTTCCCCTTTCCCATTTGCCCTTGTCTTCAAAAATGATGCATCAAGCTTAAACACTGCTTCATTTGTAGCGACGATTGAACATACCGGGTAAGTCTTAAATGATAAAGTTGTTGCACTGGGGTTACATCACCCTCCGGAAATAAGACGCTACGTAGAGTGGAGGTGGTTTCCCTATCCCAGAAAGACTTTCAGTCAAAACTTGTTATTTTACTGGTCACAAAAACTACCTTATTACATGAAATTTTCGCGACATGTTAAGTTCGCGATTCTGATGTGCGCATAATTCGTGACCCTTGAATTTCGCGATTTTGAGAAATGATTTTTATATTTTGAATCACTCTAACTTCGCGTTTTTGAGCACCACAATTTACATTTCATTGGCAATGCTTGTTTAACATGTCCTTAAATTAAACAAAAGGACTTTATTAAAGAAACAATATCGTCAAAATTAAGAAAAAAGCAACAGCAGGACTAAATTTCAACGGTCACTTTCATTTCGCAATTTTTTCGGTATCGCGAAATTCGCGAAATTATTGTGTCGCGAAAATTTCATGTTATAAGGGTAACGCGTACGTTTGGGTTGGCCAATTGGGTTGACACTGACATAACCTGCAATCAAGCGGGTTTTTTTTTCGGGGAAAGGAGAAAAAAGAACGTCTGATACATTTATTTCACATTTACCTCCCCCGTTCATCCCCCTTTTTTGAATATACGGTACAGCACGTTCATCAATCATATAGCATAATATGATCACGCGGCTCGTCTGACAAGAGTGCTCTAGAATAGTCAGGATAGTGACAGAACTTAGTTACAACAAAACGTTCAAAGTTACGAAGAATTTTTACCATGGACTGTACACGCCGTACAAATTTGGTTTATTCTGAAAGATGCGTTCTTTTTTTCGAGTTTCATGTTGTACTGAGTTGCGTTTGTTCAAAGCATCATCTTGGGGTCGAACTATCTTGAGCCCACCGAAAATAAGCGCCTCCTTTCAAAAAGCACCTCGTTTAACATCATAAATCAGTGGCTACAGTGAGTTGTTCACTCTGAAAGGTAGTAAATAAGGGCCCCGATTGCTAATTCGAGCATTTACGGTATAATAATCATTTTTTAAAAAGATGGGGTTGAGTTTCTGATTATCAATTATTTTTTCTGTAAACATGTGTAAACAGTTACGGCTTATAGCGGATTTCTTTTACCACACTCTTACAGACATCTAACTATGATCTCCCTGGAAAGGAGACAGTTGGGGACCAGATAGATGGCTGTTTTAGAGAGAGAATGGAGAGCGGCAAGAGCCAACTGAACTATAACTTATCCGTTAGGGAAGAGTTGACAAACTGTTTCAGCCAGGCGGTTGCCGTTTCACACCGTTAGTTGCCGTTTGAGACTACTGGCCTTGTTATCCGCAGTAGATTTCCATTTGGCTTGAAGAAAACAACGAGGTTATAATCAGCTGTATAATCCTCGGCTTTCCTGTGTCTGAATGTTTCCGTCATCTCAGACAGACAAAAAAGCAAGCAGTAATAGTAACCATCGTCCAAAGTTGTTCATAGGCATGTGACACACAATTTGGCAATGCTGGCGCATACTGTTCTAGAAGAGAAGGTGAAGATGACGTTCTTATCGCGTTTGGAACTGATGTAACTGAGACACCGATGAATTGCGAAACGGTACTTAATAGTAGGAGACAACTGGCTGGCGACACGACAGAGTTTGATGGAAAGAAAATGGTGGGTGTTGAGACAATTCTAGATGTTGTGACACTTGGTCGATCTGAAGCAGCATGAAGGGTATGGCTCAGAACTGAAGGTGATATTCCTGAAAATAAAAGTATAACTAGAATTAGTTAATTAAACTATTTTTAACGTTTATCGAGTAACCGATACCGCTCTCTTCAGCTCACGAGTCTTCATCCCAAAGGCCGACTGGGAGCCACCTAAGCGGCCGCCTTCATTTCTTGAGGTAAGGGAGCATGGGGCGCGAGACAAGGTTGAAATGTGAAAAGTGAAAAAAAAAAATGAAAGTTCCCACTCAGTCTAGATCTCCCTTTTACTTTTCTGGCATTAGTTTTTAACTGGGTCCCGTCTCCATGTTGGTGCCCCCATGTGCCACACCTGGCTCTTGTGAGCTACCGCCCGACGCGCATTAGCCACGTTTAGCCCAAGCTATAACCGGAGAAATTAATATGGCTGTTTTAAGCTCAGCTAGAAGAGACGTTGAAGTGGTCTGAGAGGTTTAAGTCTTTTAAGGCGGCTTGAACGTTAAATGTAAAGATGATAAATGAGACAAACGCATTTAACATCTGACGCCTTAAACGTGTTCTGTTAAGAGCGTCGTTCGGACGCACTTAATAGACGACATGTCAAACGTTAAGTGCATCTTGTATAAACACGCGGGACGCCAAACACTGCGACGCATTTACGACCAAATCGTCCAGAAACGTTGCATTGGAAGAGTCAGTGTTTAGTCCCTTTCTTTCAACGTTGCTGTCTACTTTTATGCGTCATATTTTTACACCAGGCGACGACTTTAACGTCTCAGGCGTTTAAACATGCGTTCAGACAACCTTACGGTCCTTTACGACGTTAAGGTCTCTAGCGATGAAACGGTTATAGTTGAGACTTCTCTTACCACAGACCACCTCTCTGACTGCGTACACGTTTGTTTTTGTTTTTTAGCTCTACCCTCCCGTAAGCTACCAAACGCAAGGCACGTAGTCAGATCTTCTACCGGTAGCTCTACGGGAGGTTACAGGTATCATGTGGCCTATGCGGACCTTCAACTCGCTCTAACGAAACTGCCCGCCATGTGGATTACACGCCACCACGATAGTCGATCACGAAAATTCCTTCAACATGATCACCAAACACTCTTATTAAGAACACTTAATAATATAACAGTTAAAATTTCAGAACGTTATATCATGATGTCAATATTATTACCTGATGAAGTATCGACAAAAATCCATATTCTTTCAACATGTACTGTGTTTCTCTTGTGTATTTTAACTATTATCTCACGGCCATCATCTTCTTTTTGAACAAGAAACTCCAACGCCCCACCTGTCACATGAAAACGGTTTGTCCAGGGATCATTGCGGTTGTTGCTCTCTGTAAGCCGTTCACAACTTTTAGAATTGCAGTACGCAAATGTATTAGTTCCACTTGCGTCAGAAAAGTACATGTCTTCTACTTTATCCCACGCGGGCAGCCTGTCGAATAAGACTTTGGTCAAGTTAGCTTTTTCTGCTACCCGCTTACGAATGCCTGCAAGCACAGAGAAAGACATCACACTTATTGGAGCACGAAGAACCATCAACAAACGTAGCATTTTATGTCCAGTTTCTTACCCAACAGTGCTGCTAGAACTGGTGATCTAACTTATGAAAGTGTTTTACTTTAGGCGTGAAAAATGAGCGTAAAGCCCCATCCACACTAATGCGTTTTCCTTTGAAACGCATACGTTTCGATGCGTTTAGGCCTTCCGTCCACACTAATACACCGAACGTTTACATCGAAAACGCGTCGATTTGAAAACGCTCTTGAAAGTGGGTCGAAACGAAAACGCATACATGTCGTATTAGTGTGGACTGTCTAAAACATACCGAATCAAAACGATGACCGAAATCATCGTAGGTGCGTGTGTTTGTAGCAAGCGCATAGAGTCCAACTTACGTCACAACGTGCAATTCTATCGCTTTCGAACGTTTTAGTATGGACAGTCGAAAACGCATCAAAACGGTAGTGTGGACACGAATAGATCGATCGGTAGTGGGGACAGGGCCTAAGAGTGGCGGGTGGAAAACTAAAAAAGGTTAAGCACTTCCCGGGGGGAGGGAACTCCGTTTGGAAAGCCGGAGAGGGGATATTATACATCTCGCTTAGCGGTGTAGAAAAAGGACGGCAGAGGAAAGATGACAGCAAACCTAGGCCTTGTGTGACAAGCGTGGCAATAATGATGTGTGAAAAAATTTTCCGCCGAGCTTCGACTTCCTCTGAACAGATCTTTCGTTAAAAGACCAGAACATAGTATTGTTGAGAATCTCTGTTGGTATTTCCGACGAAAGGAAAGTCGCGACGATCGCTAATGACGAAATGACGATCTTAGGGATGAAAGCGACGATCGCAGTATTGCCATTCCAATCAAGTTCTGCGTTAGTCATGCAATGACGGCAAAGAAATCTGCCAAAAAGTCACAGTACTGCATTCATAGTTTTTGTTTTAATAAAGCTGCTGCTTTTTTGTTATTTTCTCGTTTCCTTCGTCGTCGTCGTGGTTGTTGGAGCTCGCCAGGAGCGTTGCGACGAAATATGCGACGATTTCGTTCTATACGATTTGATGAGAAACGCGCGACGAAAACGATAGAGAGTTACCCATAGAGAGGATCATTGTTATTGAGGATCACTACAAAACTCTCAACTAATAGTCTTGTCACACACAAACGCTTTGCCGTCCTCCGTCTTTCTGCCGTCCTGTTACGTTCGTTCACTAATGCTATAACAAAAAATCAACAAAACTCACAGATGGCTGTAAAGCTGACTTTAAAGATGTGAACTCTCACGTCGTTCTTCAGATCAACTCGAAATAAGAACTGGGTGTGGCCACTGGCGTAACCCCTAGCTCTGTCTTCCAAAGTTATTAGAGTTCCATTATCACTAACTCCCACTTTTGTCCCATCTGATAATACTGGTTTTATCATCGTACAGACCGAGAGGCTTGTGCAGTAAATCACATCTGTCCAGAAGTCGTTCTCAGAGTATCTCACTTTCCAATAGTACTCAGTTACTGACGACGTCACCGCGGCTTTTCTCAGAGTTTCATCCCCAGATAAGATTAGTGTACCTTTGGAGCACGCTATAAGTTCTGTGATTCCTGCATGAAATGATAAATTGTATTCATAATCATAGAAAGAACGCTAGATTACGGTATTTGCATTCGTCGTTGCCCATTTTTTTCGTTGTTTTCTGTGCTTCCACTCAAGTAGCTTCCAAGGCAGGCGTTTAAAGAGGAAA